GCAAAAATGGCTAGTAATTCCCGATCATAAGTGGAGTATCTTTGTTCTGTGGAAGACAGTTTTCTCGAAAAGAAACCTATTGGATGCCATGCACCATTAAGTTCTTGTTCTAAAGTTGCTCCAATAGCAGTAGTGGATGCATCTGTAATTAAATTAATATTTGCTATGCTTGAAGGAAAATGAAGAAGTGTTGCATTTGCTAGAGCTTCCTTCAGCTGGCTGAATGCTGATAGTGAGGTGTCATTCCATACAATTTTAGTCTTGTCATTTTTAACTGAGGACTTCACATATTCGTAAAGTGGTGCTTGTATATTTGCTGCCTTGGGTATTGATTTACGATAATAGTTTACCATGCCCAAAAATCTTCTGAGTTCAATAACTGTCAAAGGTTTTGGAAAATTAATAATTTTTTCTACTCGGTCTGGTGAAGGAGAATATCCTGCTGCACTCAGTTTCTAACCGAGGAAGTTAACTTCATCTTTTCCAAAAACGCATTTCTCTAAGTTAATAGTGAGAGAATATTCCTGTAGCCTCTCAAAAACCAATTGAAGATGACGACGGTGCTCATTCATACCAGTCGACATTACCAGGATGTCGTCTATATAAATGAAAACAAAATTGAAATCTTGGAATATGTGATTGATAAACCTCTGGAATGTCTGTGCAGCGTTTTTGAGTCCAAATGGCATGCGTAGATACTCGAAGAGTCCCCATGGTGTGATAATTGCAGTCTTTTGTATATCCTCTTCATGCATGGGTACTTGGTGGTAAGCTTTTTCCAAATCTATTGTAGAAAATACTGCTTTCTGATGAAGATTATTGAATACATCTTGTATTAATGGTGGAGGATACCTGTCAGGTAGTGTGTTTGCGTTCAGCCTCCTGTAATCTCCACACATTCTGAATGTGCCATTCTTTTTGGGAACCATATGAATAGGACTTGCCCATGGACTGTTGGAAGGCCTCAAAGTGCCCCTGTTCAGGAGATCTTGTATCTCGGACCTGGCTGCAACAGCCTTTTCTCCGAAGATCTTCCTGAATCTAGAAGCTAATGGTGGACCTGTTGTGGTTATCCTGTGTGCAAAAAGAGATGATTTATTGTTGGTGGTTACCTGTGGCTTTGTTATTTCGATGTATTGTGCCAGTAAATCCTTGAAAGGCTCTGCCGGATTGACAGTGGAGATGTTGAATTGCTGTGCCTTGAGTACCTTTCCATCAGAGGTAAGGCCTGTGGTCGAATCAATCAATCTTCTTCCCTTCAAGTCTATTAATAGATTGTAGTTGCTTAGGAAATCGGCTCCTATTATGGCTGTGGCTACATCGGCAACAACAAACTGCCAGTTAAAGCTTCTGCGTAAAGATAGATCCAGCTCCAGAGTTCTCTTGCCATACGTGGAAATTTTGCTAGAGTTTGCTGCAAACAAAACTAGCTCTTCCTTGGCATGACCATTGGCAAACTTATGGGCTGGTAAAATGGATATAACTGATCCTGAATCTATTAGAAATTGGATTGCCGTCTTTCTGTCTGATATATGAAGGCGGAGCTCAGAGCAGACATAATTTACTTCACCGTCATGATAAGCTCCAATTAATGACGGTGAAGTAAGTTTTCCGACTCGCTTAGAGATTTCAGCAGGCATGGCTCTTCACATTTAGTGGCTTTCTCACCGTATCTGTAGTGATAGTAACACACTGATCCACGAGAAGGTGTCCTGGACCTATGTCGAGAACCACTTCTAGAACTTGACTGATTGAGTTGTTCACTTCTTGATCTAAACTGGTTGAGTTGTGATTCTTGTTGATCATTCTTCAGTCTTCCAGTGTTTAACATTGCCCTTAGTTCCTTAATTTCCTGGACGCATGACATAAGCAGAGTTTCGTGGCGGTCCAGTCTCTGTTCTACTGAAAACTTGTGTGTTGTGGACATCACATGTGATGTGGGGCTACAGTGATCGACCAAAATATCGGCAACTTCCGCCAGGGCTTCCGGACCAAGATGACGAGAAACTATCAATTGTGGCCGAATATGGTGTGGCAGGCGTTCTGACCACAATTTAATTATGATGTCTTCACTGACCTCTCCCTTAGCCAAATTCATCATTTCTCGTAGGAGCTGTGATAGTTTCTTCTCTCCTAGAGTTAAGTTTTTTAATAGCTTGTCAATTTGCTTACCTCTAGATTCAGACATTCTGCTTAATATAGTGTTTTTGATATATTCGTATTTGCCTGTCATTGGTGGATTACGGAGGACATCCTGAATGAGGCGCAGTGTCTCGAAGTCTAAGGCTTTGAGTACTGCTGTGTACTTAGTATCGTCACTCCTGATCCTAGCAGACTGAAACTCGTATTCAATAACTAAAAACCATAGATCTGGAGAGTCTCCATTGAATGGAGTGAGACGGTGATTATTAAATGCTGCTATGTTGAATTGGTCAGCATAACTGTCATGTTCATGCTCAGAAATACGAGGATTGCTAGTGTTAAAGATCGCCTCGTGATCCAGATCGATCAGAGATCTGTTGAGCGCTGTTTCGTCATTGATGGACGTAGATCGAGTCGACATGTTGATAAAAATTGGTATAATTTACCTTTATTAATTTACTTGTATTTGACAAGTGTTTTCCTTTCTCCGTCCGACGTCACCAATTATGGGAACTAAGACGTTGAGAATGTCTCTTGCTTACCGATTTCACACACACGTTCGGAGTCACCAATTATGGCGCTAGTGGGCCATATATTATTTATTAATTAATTCTTGAATGAAATCGCAATAATTTTATTTCAACTCGATAATGAGTGTTTATTAATGTCTCAATTGATAAAGATGTTGATATAACATTAAATCAAATCTCAATTTTGATAACAAGAAAACGCTCGTTGAAAAACCGATATAATATTTTCGATCGTTTTTAAAAAGCGCGACAATAATATTCGATCGTATAAAAACAATCAGATCGTTATAGCTTGCTTGATGCCAGATCCGAATCAACGTAGCCCAATATAATTTAGTTTTGTCATCAATTGACGTTATTCAACTGACATCTGTCATATGGTGTTTATTCCGCCATTGTCATCAATTGACGTCATTCAACTGACATCTGTCATATGGTGTTCATTCTGCCATATATATATATATATATATATATATATATATATATATATACCAAGAGCACTGCGCAGCCCACTCTTTAGTGAATAAATTTTTATAAAAAATGTTCACTAAGGTCTGCTTGCTCCCTCCGATGCGTGTAAGATACTTTAGCTGAAAATAGAGTATTGCAAAATTAAATTGAAAAATTTTGTACGAACATTAAGCACAAGAAAACTCACCAATTGTGCTTTTTCCAGGTCATTCTGGAAGAGTACTTCGCAGCCTAAAATACTTTGTGTAGTTTTTAAAGGAAATAACTCTTTACAGACGGTGTCTTCTTCCTGCTGGACACTATTGCGAGGTAGTGCCTTTATCTCAGTTAAAAGAGAATCATTGTAAATTTTATTTTTCCTTGCGAAGTATCTAAATGAATCTATTAAAAAATCGATAAGAATAAATAATAATTAAGACACAATAACTATGAATCACTTCTACAGGCAGAGGTTCCTCTGTCTATGTGCCTTGATCAACAGTACTCCGTTGTTTATTTATGGCCTGTTTTTTTCATGCCATCCGCCCGGAATTAAAAATTAAATTCAATTCTGTCAGCTGCAAAACATTAGTCAAATAAATAAGATACAAAGAATTTTATAACAATAATCTTTCTCTTCCTCTTTATCTTCAAATACTTTTTTGGTCCTCTTACGGTGACCCCTTTCTTGCGGCTCATCGCTTTGCAAAGCTTCGCTATCCGCCGCCGCTTTCCTCGCTTTTTCATACGAATCTAAGAATTCAAAGCAAATAAATATCACATAAACGAATAGTATATGAACACTACAAACCATCAAGTGGCCCATCACATACGATTAAAAGTGTTCTGAACCCTTCGAGGGCCACCAACACTTAACAACTTCGCCGTTCTCTTTTATCAGTCAATCGGCTGAGACTAAAGAACTGAAAAAACATTCTATTATAACTAAAATATTATAATTGGATTATAGCTAAAAGAAATTGAAAGCTTGTATTATTAAAACACATGCTTACAAAATGGTGGAACAATGACATTACCTCCATCATGTAACATATATTAATTATATATTATAATTATACTCACGATTCAGGCATTTCCATTTTTTTGTTTTTTTTTTTCTCTAGTGGCGAATAGCAAATGAACTCCCAAATAGAAATGATCATTTTCGTCGAACACAAACACTTTTGCCATTTTCTACTAATGAACGCTTACACATGAAGTTCGTCACTGTTCGTCACTATCACCAACTTTACAAACAGTGTCAAAAAATAACTCTGTTCCGTATGAAGAAACTTCACATTTGTTTTATTTTTCATACAGGTTATGACAGGTTATGACAGCGATTTCCAACTTGTGGGGCGCGCCCTCCCGGGGGGGGCGCGTTGCTGTCCCAAGGGGGGCGCAAAGATCTTTCAAAAATATTGTTTTTAAATGCTGAGTAAGTGTCAAAAACAAGTCAGCAAAATGCATGCAAGTAATCTACAATTTTTGCTGCAATTTTGTCAAGACAAATGTAACAGCATGGATATACTATACTTTTGGTGCATTCAAAATATTTCGTTTTTGCGTTTGTAGTTGAGTGAGCTGTAGGCCTATAAACAAAAGATAAGCACTCGGATCATATCGAATATTCACGTGCTTACTCGAGACTAACTTAAGTAAATAAACAAAAGCATCCTTTTTATTCTGTTATCTATAAATCGAATTAGTTCATTAGTTGTGCTGGAGATACACGCGTTGATATATACAAAAAATCATTTCTAAATTATTATTGAGTTAAAATTTATAGCTTTAGTTTTGGCACATTATTAGCCAGGAATTATTGTGAAAAGTAGTGAAAAAGTGATTTTCTTTGATTTGTTATAAAAACCGTTTGTAATGGATAAATTCGTGACTGGGTTGAAAATAAAATTTAATGAAGCAGAAGAAGAGGGTGGTGAAAATAATGGAAATGTTTCTTCACAAAATAGTAAAACTAAACATAGAAAATATGATCCAATGTACTTATTATTGGGATTTACGTATAAGATCATTAATGGTCAAGAACCACCAATGTGTTTGCTGTGTATGAATACTTTGGCCTCAGATAGCATGAAACCAAATAAATTAAAACGTCATCTGGAAAAAGTGCACGCCGATCATGTTGGCAAAACAAAAGAATTTTTCCAAAGAAAATTAGATAGCTTAAATAAACAGAAAGAATCGTTTTCAAAAGCTTTGTCTGTATCACAAAAAGCGTTACTTGCGTCATACAAAGTTTCGTATCGAATTGCTAAATGCAAAAAACCACATTCAATAGGAGAAACTTTAGTACTACCAGCAGCTATTGACATAATAGCTACGATGTTTGGTAAATCATATGCTGATCAAATTAAAAGCATTCCGCTGGCAGATAATACGGTGGGAAGACGAATATCAGATATATCTGATGATCTTTGCGATCAGTTGATAGAAAAAATTAAATTATCTTATTTCGCGTTGCAAGTAGATGAGGCTACCGATGTTGCTAAGGATGCACACTTAATAACAGGCATCGGCAACCTACGGCACTCTGGGGTTTTGAATGGCACTCTATAAAGTAATGAGGAAAATCGGAAATATCGAGTGATTTTTAAATAAGAGAAAATGTTTAATTATAATATATTTTCTAACGGAGCTCGCTTTGAAGCTTATGTGCCTATATTTTCCTTCCTCATAAAACCAGATTTAATAGATCCATCAATAATACCGTTTGATTTGTTGACTTTCGAATGGATTAATGTTGATAATTTTGAAATGGAAATTATCGAACTAATATCTTCAGAATTATGAAAACAAAATTGAAGGAATTACAAAAAAAAAACTGAAAGATGACTCTATGGAAAAATCGACAGCCATATTATATTGTTAAATGACATTGCCGGAAAAGATTTAATTGTTTAATGACAATTGTATGCGCTCTCCTTTCAGCTTTTGGTTCCACATATCTCTGTGAACAAATTTTTTCTCACATGAAACATATTTTGAGTTCACAAAGAAATCGTTTAACAACTAAACATTCAGAATCTTGTGTGAAATTAAAAGTTACAAATTATACCCCGGATCTTGAAATGTTAAGGAAAAGGCACAAGGTTCGCATTAAAGTTGTTTAGTTTATATTCAGTGGCAGATTAAGCTTTCTGCCTCCCTAGGCCCTATCTGATCTTTTTAATAAACAATTTTTTACTTTTTTTAATTAAACTATAATTTTATTCTAAATTACTTAAATACAACTTTTAACTTTCCGTAAAGTACTCGTAAATTATAGCAATCGAAAAGATCGAAAATAATTTTTTTTGCATATTTTTACGTTTCAGACATTTCTGAACATTTTGGCATACCTTAAAAAAATTGATGTGTGTGTATGTATGTATGTTTCATTCTCATAGATAAGAAAGTTCTGATTAGTTTTTGGCTAAGACGGGTTTAGCCGTTTGGAAAATACAGAACAAAAGTGGAAAAATTGCAATTCAGTTTTTGAAAGAACCGAGAGGCTGGTTTCCGAATAATTCAAAAAAAAAACTTGTACTGAAGAAATGAATGATTACCTAAATTTTCGGGAAGCAGGTTTAACGGTTGACCAATCTTTTTTTTTTTGTAATTAGTAAAAGAGAGAAAAAATTCGTCAAAGTTTTAGCCCATAATTTTAAGTCGATTTTAAAAATTCAAAAACCATTCGAAAAATCTTGGTTGGAAATCGTATTCATTAATTTTTGGTAAAAACCTGCCGGACAGATTAGGTTTGCGGAACGATCGGACGAGCCGGTTGTTTGAAATTAGCATAAAAAAGCAAAAATATTACGTTTTTGGAATAAAGCCAGAAACTGATTTTTAAAATTGAAAAAAGATTTCTGAAAGATATCAATTAGGAGTCAAAATATTTGACTATTTTAAAAATTCATCAAAGTTTGATAAAACTTCATAATCAAAATTTGTGTTAAAAGGCGCTTTTGTGATGTGATAAATCAAAATTTAATTTTCAAAAACGCCTGAACTGATTTCACAAATTAAAAAGACATTGGACTAAACTCGATAAATAGAACCGAGATATTAAAAAATTTCGAGTTTTTTTTAAATTCTAAAGTAATTCGATTATTTGAAAATTTTAGATATTTTAATTTTCTCAAAATTTTGAAACCAGTGGACTTGCCGTTTCGGAAAACTAATCATTTCTTCATATCACTAAAATACCACGAACAAAATATTTTTTGAGTCATTCCAATCGGATGATCTGTACTCTCAAAACCTTCATGACCACTTTTGCACCTTCTGCGCTCTGTATCTCCAAAAATGGTAAACCTGCCTTTGGCATAAACAGTACGCCTCTCAGTCAAAGCCAAGTGAATATTTTTTTAATCATTCATGGTGATTGATCCTTGCAAAGGACAATTAAACTATCTAAGAAGTAAACTTTGAAAATTAAAAATCTTGGTACGGAATGATTCAAAATAATGAAGACAAAATTTGTAATAATTAATAATTTTTTTATAAAAAATCTAATAATTTGATGTCAATGATAATTTTTTATCACCTAATAACACCTTTTTGGGTCACCAAAAACGCTGACCATGCTCTCGCAAAATTTTCGATAGTTCTTATTTCGTCATACAAGTAAAAAGTGTCTTGAATTATTCAAATAGGACGCTCCGTTTTTTGAAAAATTGAATTAGTACTTTTTTCACTCTTTGCTCCCTATTCCAAAATGGATGGAACTGTCTTTGCAAAAAACTAATCAGCACGTCTTCCCGAATGCCAATTGGCAAAAAATTGTAACCGCATAAACACATGCATACATCCATTTTTTCTAAGGCATGTCAAAATGTTCAGTAGAACTTGAAGCGTAGAGTTATATAAACAATTTTATTTATGATCTTTTAGGATTTTTATAACTTAGCCTTCCTGAAGTTGAAATAAAAGCCAATTGGAGAAAGCATACTAAATTGTCAGATATTTTTAATTTTATACTACAGGCATATTTAAAAATATATATTTTCACATACAAAAAAAATGACATAAATTAATTAACAACAATGAATATATTGTGTTAATTCGGCATTGTTTGATTTAATACCGAAAATAAAACTAGAAACAATCGAACAGTTTTTAAAGCGTTTTAATTATAAGATTCACCTGAACAAAATTACAAAAAACGAACAGTTTTTCAATATTTCTTCAAAAAATCTTATCAGTTTGATAATTATTATATTAAATATGATACAATGCGGCACCCACGAATAATAAATTTGATTAGAAAACGCATTACGTTCTATTTCATCGAAAATGATCTCTAAATTTACAAAAAAAAATTTCAGGATCTATCCTTAAAATGAATTGTCGTGTCATTTCATCGAGTTTAAAATATTTACATTTTTAAAAACTTGCCGCCCCCTAAAATATGCCGCCCCAGGCCCGGGCCTAATGGGCCTATGGGGTAATCCAGCACTGTTTATATTAGAAATTCATGTTATTTGTTAATAAAAATGTTTAAAAGATAAATTTGGTTATAATTCTTCTACCCTAGAACCTAACTATATATTTCAAAATTAAGGTGGCACTCTAAATCATATTGGCAGAGTGGCTTGGCACACTACAGTTAAAAGCTTGCCGACCCCTGCTTAATAACATATATAAGATATGTTATGGAAAATGATATTAGAGAAGAGTTGTTATTCTGTAAGGCAATTCAAGGCAAAGCTACAGCGAGTGAAGTTTTTAACATGATTGATAACTTTTTTATTGAAAACGGTATTTTATGGGAGAACTGTGTTGGACTGTGCACTGATGGAGCACCATCTATGGCAGGAAAAAATGCTGGTCTGCAGGCCCTAGTTCGAAAAGTGGCTCCTCGTGCAGTTTGGACGCATTGTATGATTCATAGGCAATCTCTTGTTGCAAGAAATATGGGTGAAGAATTACTTAAAGTATTTGAAATTATAATAAAAGTTGTTAATTTTATCAAAAATAGTCCATTAAGAGAAAGGCTTTTTGGAAAATTGTGTGATGACATGGGCTCAGAATACAAAGCACTACTTCATTATTGTGAAGCACGTTGGCTTTCTTGTGCTAAAGTACTTCAAAGAGTGTTTGAGCTCAAAAAAGAAATTGCCATTTTTCTTGCTGATAATAAAAGAGATGAAGCAGACATATTTTATGACACGAAGTTTCTCGCAAAATTTGCGTATCTAGTTGACATTTTTAAAAGACTAAGTGATTTAAATATATCAATGCAAGGAACTCAAATTCATGCTTTTGTTCAAAAGGACAAGATTACGGCGTTTATGAAAAAAATAGAACTGTGGATAGCTAGTATGAAAAGTAATAACTTTGATATGTTTCCCTCTTTTAAAACTACATGTGATGATGAAATAGAAGCTGATGATGAAATAGAAGCAAGTAAAGATCTTATTATCAATCATATGACTTGTCTACGAATGGATTAGAAATCCATTTGTTATTGATAAATATGATGATTTTGGTCTTCCAACGGCAGAGCAGGAAATGATAATTGATTTATCTAGTGATAGCACATTGAAGCAGATGTTTCAGGACGAAAAGAATATTGTTAAGTTTTGGTTACAAGTAAAGGACGATTTTCCAACTTTGACAAATAAAGCTTTAGAAATTTTATTACCTTTTGTGACATCCTACTTATGTGAAACTGGTTTTTCTGCAGTAGCAGTATTAAAAACAAAGTACCGATCTCGTTTAGTTATAGAAAAGGAACTGAGAACAACGATTTCTACAATGGAGCCGCGGTTTGAGAAAAATTGTGCTAAAAAACAAGCTCAACCGTCGCATTAATTTTTTAATGTTGTGTGAAATATTATATCATTTGTTTTTATTAAATTTAAAATTATTTTTTCTTATGATCAATAGCTATGTTTGTATGTATACATTTGTATGTATATTTTTGTATGTTTATTTTTGTATGTATGTATATTGTGCATTATTTGCTACGAGATTGAATAAATCGTAATTTCAATTAAGTATATTTAAATTAAATTGTTAAAAAAAACTAGGAGGGCGCAATATTTTTTTCTTTCAAAAGGGGGGCGCAAGGAAAAAAAGGTTGAAAACCGCTGGGTTATGACTTATTTTCATGTCTCGCATTATTTTTTTAGTGGCACAAGCGTAATTGTTTTTAATCCGAGAATATATAAAATGGATAAATGTAAAAAATTCGCTGATGTATCTAAGAGAAGAGTACAACTTTTTTTTTATTTGCATAGTTTTATTGTCAATCAAAATAATGTACACTTTTTAAGACAATGTGCTGTAATGTTAATGCATTTAAGAGATTATCTCCTATGAGATATCTCTCTTTTTTTTATTTTTTGACATTTTATTTAAGATAGTAAGGCCATTTTTTCTTCAATCTTTGTGTGAGATATTCCTCGCTTAAGGGGGTATTCTACTGTAGAATTTTGAAAAAATCGAAAAAATTTTTTTTTCATATTTTCAAAGTTTAGTTATTCAAAAATATGTCATTAAAAGGATTTTTCAAAATTACTATTATTTCCTGAGTTATAGCCGTTTTAATGACGTGGCCTCGGTTCGGGTCCGACTTGTCTCAAAACTTTGAACGCCTTTTTCTCGGAACTACTTTTTTCGAGCTGGCGGTAAGGATATCTTGAGTTCTAATGAACCCATTTACTTCAAATTTGGAAAGAATCTTCTCTATACATCGCTTTATCGTATGGACCTTGCCCAAAACTATAACTTTTTATTTAGTATTTTTAAAAAATTCGGAATTGTTAAAAAAACGTGAAAAAAAATTTTTTTTTTTCAAATTGCCGCCATTCAAACAAAAAAAATTTGTTTAACTTATCCAAGGTTCATACGATAGCGGCATCTATTATAATTAAGAATCCATCTATTTTTTATGTTTCAAATCACCAGGTGGGTTGGAATCATGTACGCCAGCACACCCTCTTTTTTTGGGAACCCCCACTTTGACTGCTCATAACTTTGTGAATTTTAATTTTTTTTTAATAATAATTTTTTTATGTAATAATAAAATATCAATAAACAAATCATAAAAAAATCTATAGTAAAAATATTATTTATTTCCTTTATACAGCGCTTCAAAAACCGGGCGAAATTCATGACTCTACAGTAGAATACCCCCTTAATTCTTTTAAATATATGTTTGGGTGACCTGGTAGTTTTTCGCGGTATTTTTTGCTCCTTTCTTTTATCATTTCATTAATAGTTTTTATTTTTAGTTCTTTATGTGGGGTGTCATTTGTAACATACCAGAGTGCGTTCACAATGCATCTTAAAATTTTTGATTGCGCTACTTGTTTTTTTTTTTATATTTGAATTGCCATTGCCATAGCCCAATGCCATATGTCCAGATTGGGATAATTATTGTTTTATATAAAAGGAGTTTGTTTTCATAGCACATATTTGAACTCCTGCCAATTAGCTACAAATCTTTGAACTTCTTCTCCATCTGTTTTCTTTTCATTTTGATGTGACTTGACCAGCTTAACTTTCTATCGAGATGAATCCCAAGGTATTTTACGCTCTTAGGTATTTACGCTCTCATATTTTGGTATTTCTATGTTGTTTATTTTTACGCTTGGGCAGTCCAAGGTTCTTGTTGTGAAGATTATATGGCTAGATTTTGTTTCATTTATTTTCAAATTCGGAGACATATTGTTGAACAATTGCCGTTGCGACGGATGCACTTGTATGAGTTCCCATGACAACTGTATCATCGGCAAAATTTCCAATTATTACTATCAGTTGGAATGTCGTGTGTATATTAGATACAATAGTGGCCCTAAAAGACTCTCATGTGGAACCCCCGAACAACAAATTTTAAAGCAAAAAGTTGATGATTTTCAAAAGTTTTTGAATAGAAGCGCAGTCAGGACTTTTCATTAACTAGTAGTACAAGCGGTACTATCGAAGACATAGTCGAAGTAAGATCAGTTCCTCAATTGAATATGTTCGGTTACATTTCCATTTCAAGAAACAAGAATAGAAATTGCAGAGCGATTTATCGCCAATGACGAATCGCCAGATCTGCCAGCTTTGCTACGAAAATGGGTAAGCAAAGAACGAATAAATGTCAATAGCATGAACAAATTATTAAAAATTTGAAAATTATTTGAAGACCATACGGGGAATGATCTTCAACAGCTAGTAAATAGACTACACGAGATAAAGGTCTAAGGAGACCACAAAAACAAGATACTTATCCAGCACCACTATTCAACAGTAATAATGAATTTTTTTAAATTTATTTATTTATTTATTTGGCTTCTACCTTATGGTTATCTAGCACATTACATACATTTATAATAATAATTATAACTACATATATATCTAAACTTAACTATATACATATCGATACATATATACACATACACACATGCACATACATATTTATGTATGCACATACACATAAATACATATACACACCGATATCAATAAAGTGAAACTTAAATTTTTATTCTGCATTTACTAATAAAATCCATAACTATTTTATATATTTATATATTATTTGAAGCGACTAATATGAATGTATTCATTGCAAATGATATCCCCTTTTCACTCAGACATTTGTATAGGTATGATGATGGCATTGCCAAAATAAGTGATCAATTGTTTCTGCAGCTCCACATACGCATTTGTTATTATCTATGATCCGGAACCGGTATAACTGGTCATTGCAGAATGTATGATTGATTCGCATTCTACAAAATATTGAAATCAATTTTCTATCGATGTTTAATCTTTTATTAAACTATGTGTTAAGTTTCGGAGATGGATTAATTGCAGCATATTGCCTTCCCTTTATTTCTGATAAACTTTTACACTCCTCTTGCCAAGTTTTAATAGTTTGTGATTTTATCCAATAAAATAGATCAGAACATGGAACTTTATAAAGGTCTACGTTCAGATCCCATGCCTCTTTTTCATTTTTTATTTATGTATGTTTCTAATTCCCTATTTCTGACGCCAATGTTTAATATATTCGGTTCAATTGGAAACGATGTAAATATTGTATCGGGTTTCTCAAACTGAATTATCCAAGGTTAAATAAAAATTATCCATACTTTTTGAAAAAATAAAAACTTGATAATAATGGTGGAGTGTTTTTCTTGAACCAAAATTTTTTGGTAATATGGTGATTTGATAATACTTGTAATTGATTTGGAATTTCTTCGCATGCCGAATTAAATTTTTTAGTAAGATATTTATTTGATAGCATTTGGATTCTCAGATGAAAAGCTATTTCACCTGCTTCCGCTAGTAAGCTATTAGTAGCTATTTACACCATATATTGGTGAAAATAGTAATTCAAAAAACAGTAATTATTATTTTTAACTAAGCAGTAAATATTAGTATAAAATATTGAAAAATTGTAGACGTGGGTACAGAACAACGTCTGTCGGGTCAGCTAGTATATATATAAAATCGGAGCTCTCTTTCAAATGTCCGAATAAAACTCGAAAACGGCTAAACCGATTTGGCCAGTCTTAGTCTTGAAAAATTTGTGCCAATCCAGAGATGGTCGGAAAGGTGAGATATTATTTCAAAATCGCGCAGTAACTTTACATTTTTAATTTGATTTTAAATTTTTGTAGAAGCGTAATTCAAATAAAACAATGGACGGTGGCAAATACGTGAAATGTCAAACGCTTTTGACAGATGATGTTCAATTACGTTTAATAGGATGTTTTACGCGAATATTATTTAATTATGATAAATTTGTAGTAAGTAGTTTTGTTTGTAGTTTTATTTATATACAAAAACGTTAGTAAACGGGCCGCAAGTGTTACTAGAGACTCAAAATATAAACTTTTTTGATATGTTAATATGAAAATGCACTTTTTGGCATATTTTTCTCAAACACGGTGCTCTGAAAGATCTCATTTGTAATAAAACATTTTCTAGGTTATATTATTTTTTATTTATCTTATTTAAATTCAGAACCTAAATTTGGTATCGATCAAATGGACATTTTGTCGAATAACATTTTTCCAGTTATAATTTCCCAGAATTTATCGCAGAATAGATAGTAATATATGAAGGTCCGGGATTAAAAAGGTCCACCACCGATGTGTCAAAAATCAGTAAGGTTAAGCATTGTTTAACAACAATATTTGGAAGTAGAAGAAAAAAGATGTATAGCCAGCTACAACCTTGATTTGAAAACGATAATCTTTGAAATGGGGGAGATAAACGGTAATCTTTGAAAATCCATAATAAAAGTATTTTCTTCCGTTGGTAGTTTTAGCATTAGTTAAAAATGTAATTATTTTGTAAAATACCTTTAAAATTATAATAAGGCTTTAAACCTTTTGCCACCTGCCCGTTACAAGTTACCCCGCATATAGGATAAAAAGGTCTAGATAACAAATTTTTGGAAGACATCATAAAAGCACATTTCTACAATGAAGAAGTAGAAGTCAGTTTACTAAAT